GGGTGCCGTGTTTTCCAGGTTATCCTATTGATGAAAAATTTTCATATTATCACATTTTCCAAATTTATAGAATTTATTATAATGTACATTGAGCCTTTGTTTTGCGATTCTTATGACCCCACCCCTTTCTCATTCTCTTCCACAGGGGCGCCTTATGTCAGAAAGACGTGTTGATGGTGAGTATTTGTTAAGCGGTGTCGATCCAGGTTTTAGGAGTTCTTTGTGCTCAGCCCTCTTTTTGGTTCATAACTTTCCCCCTTAAAAGCCCTTTAGGCCCATTAGGTTACTGTCTAGAAGAGAATGAGCATTTAGGTGGCTTTGGCATCAAAAGGTCTTGAAGTGGGGGAAGCATAAATGTATTATAGATAGGTTAATCCGCCTGGAATTTTATCTTCAGGACTAAGTCTTTCGCAGAGATTCAGTCCATTGTACTACCTGCCCTAACATGGTTCTTTTCAGATTCAAATGCCGAAATATCTTTCGAAGATACTCGTAGAGGTGGTATAGAATCCAGTGAGGACGTACAGGTATGTGGCTCGAAACTGTTCAAGTACCAGGCATTGTTTTCCATCCCCTGCCTCACCCTTCGAGAGCATAGCTAGGGCTTCTCTCAGTACCTGTCCCAGGTAGCATATTGGACTTAAAAGCTTCCTCTAGCGTTTTTCGGCACCTTGAAAACGACCACCGTATTCGCTGGGACCGTGGCTTGACATTTTCCGAGTAACATCATCCCAACTGTTCCCAGTAGTGCACCTCTGCCTGTCTCCACCTCTGCTGATGCCATTCATGGAGACCTGAAGATTGCTGTCAAGCTACGCAGTAGCAGGAGGTTTGCCTTCGCTCTTCCTGGGAAATTACTGTGAAACTCGTCCTTACGGTTTCCATGGGAACAAGATTTTAGCGATTATGGTAGTCTTAACCCTTTATATCCTATGGTGCGGCCGCTAAAACATTGCGTTTCTTGGAACAAACTTTGGAAAGTGGGCTAGAATTGGGTACATAATGCCTTATTTTGGACATAATGCCAATGCGCACGCATAGTAAGAACCCGTTATTGCGGGATAAGCTTGTGTGCTCGTGGAATAAACACTTGATATTTAGAATGGAGAAGGCAGCTTGTTCTCTTTTAGCTCAGGCTTTTATAGCTTGAAGAGCATTTTGGAAGCAGACTGGCTTAGTGGGGGCATTTCTCTGGTTCCCGTCGACCTCTGGCGATGATCTGAAGCTTCCTGTCAAGCTATGCAATAACAGGAGCTTCGTCTACACTTGACAAGAGCCTAAAGGTTCCTCTAAGGTGAGACGTGTAAGTTGTCAGCAACCAATGAAAGAAACTAGCAATGGTGAAAAGCCCCTCCCATGTCGAACACCTTTTGCGCCGCATTTTGCAGCATCTAGAAGCATGGTGCTGAGACGTTCTTATGACCCCAGGGAATGTCAGTTTTCTATGCAGGAATCGTGTAATGGCATGAGGGGCGGTAATTGGTTGCACATTGTGTGGCTCGATACTCGCGTTGGCCATGAAATTCTTTCGTCGCTGCGGTTAACAAATACCAGATGCGAATGGAACGATAAAAGCCTCAACGTGGGCTATGCCCTGAGCACGCGCTTTGTTGTAACTGCAAGGCTCGTTCAAAGGCCAAGACAAGTTCGAATGGGAGTAGAGCTCATGGCGTGCTTCGGAATAGAAGTATAAAAACTTTCGCAGTTAATCATTCTTTTTTGGGCGGGGTGCACTCATTTACTCCCACAAGTAAATGTAGCTGCAACTTACCACCAGAGCCATACCGCTCCTCGGGAGGGCTCTCATTGCTGGCTTGGCCGCTTTTTCTCCTATAAACATAGTGTTCCACGAGTCAGAAGGAAAACAGCGTGCAGAAAGTTTCAGCCGCCACCTCTGTAAATTCCGGTACAGAGGGATGGGCGGAGACAGAGAACCATTCTGCTCTTCCATTGCCACATTGGCGCGTCCCTCATTGGAGGGCGAGGGAACAACCCTCGTGACCTAAGCGAAAACAGAGAAATAAGAGAGCGAGTTGTAGTCTTCAAAGGAACGTTGCGCTATAGACGAAAGCCTGATTAAGGGCAGAAGCGGAAAAACGTCGCACTCTTCGATGCAGTTCGGCTTGGGGGGAGGCGCCAAAAGGTGCGGAGCAAAGTTTGTATAGGCAATCTTAAAAAAAAGCTGTAACCTCCTGTAACCACTGTGGCTCACCTTACCATTCCCCCCCAGTTTACAGTACTCCACAGGACTTGCCAGAGACCTGTTACTTAATATGAACTAGCATAGAAGGTGCTAAACGCGCCACCCCTATGCTCAGCACGCGGCCTTTTCCCTTTGATTGCCCCTCGTTCTAGAGCGGCATGTAGAGTGAACGCTGCGAAGTAGTTCTCGACCTCCACCCATGCTATCAGCGAGGAATCAGCCACTGAAAACAAACCAGCGCACCTATCAATGAAAGAGCCGAAAGTCCAGCCTGAGGTACTGCGCGGCTCAATCACTCCTGCAGATTCTAGCTGTTGGGCAACACTTCTAAAATTTCATATGTAGTTTTGAGAGCAGACGTTGGTCAAATTGCAGGTCGATCTCCAATAATTCTCCAATTTTAGGATCACGCCTCACGCCACATTGATGTCGTGGAGGAGAATCCGCTCCCAAACATGACTCCTATCAGAGCTCGCCGCGCACACGGTAAGCAAATTGATGTTTTTAGACATTTACGTGGGAGAAAAAAGTAGAACAACTTCAGTAAAGACCTGGCTGTCCTTTCTCTGGACAAGTTCTGCGGACCTGTTTTATGCCAAGAAAGCAATACCCTGCCACCTTTGATTCAATAATCGTTTCTTCGCGTCATCCGATGCTAACACTATCTAACAGTGGAGAAAACATGATGTAAAAACTGAACTCGTGCCGGAAATTGCCCTGGTGTTTCGGTAGGCGGGACAACTAGGAAGGCGTCGGAGCTGCCACTATGAGGGCCACGCACCTTCATTACTTACTGTGAAGCCGCGAAAGTGGGATAACCTTAGAGACTGCGAACTGTACAAAGACGCCTACGAACTGTTTACGCACGGGGACTGTCTTTAAACTCATGCTGCATTCTTTTGTTCTAAAACTTTATTCCTTTTCACATTTTAGCGCTATATTCCAGTCCAGTTAGTTACTACTATAGCAGCTGTCTGACCTAATTCGCTTACTAGCGCCTATTGAAGCGCGTTCACTGAAAGCAGTAAGTAATAAATGAAGCTGATTGTGAGATAGAGTACCCTGACCTTTGACTCCAGCCTCCGCCAAAGGCGATTAGTCGATACGCATGCCAAATAATATGGCAAAAACACCTGTTGTTGCTGAACTGAAAAATATTAACATGAGGTCTCAGTTTTTCCTTCTTCAGATGAACTTAGTACAGTGACGGTAGACGAGCAGGTCGTCACAGAAGCAACCTTACAGCGAGTGAAACGTAAACGGATCGCGGACGAACGCTCTGAAACAACAGAAGACAAAGGTGAACAAAGGAAACTGCGACAAAGCCATGACTATCCGAAACCATTGACAAGTTATACGATTGACAATTTTTTATAGTTTTCCTAATAATTGAGCCTGCATGAATAAAGCAGTTTGAATCGTGTACAACTTCTTACCTAGTGAAGACTTCAGATCTTATGTTCGTTCCCTCTACTCGAGCAGACCGACGAAACGATAAGGAGAAATTCTGACCTCGGTTTTCCCTCGGTTTGGGAGGGGTCTTCTGCACATTCGCTAATTCCTTTTGCTAGATCCTTTCGAATCACATGTCACACCGCGGTGAGACCTGTACTCTTGTCAAGTGTGGACAAAGCTCCTGCTATTGAATATTCTTACCAAGAACTCGCAAGTCTCAATACGTAGGTATCGACATTGATGGATGGAAACTAGAGAATGCCCCCATCAGGACGAACTGCGCAGAAATTTCAACTTAGGAACAATGTTCACCTTACTGCATGAGCCTAGAGAGTCAAACACTATCCTCCTCCTGCTGAAAAGGCTCCCTCCCTTGATCTTTGACAAAGAAGGGATACACCAATAGGGAAGGCCCAATCGTCGACTGTCCTCGCCCATGTGTTAGGCGTGGATTGTGCCTCAGATGTGGTTCTTCGTTGACTACCTCACTCGCTTCATCGCATCGCGCACTCCACGATTGTAAGTTATGGGTAGCGTTCACGCCTCAAGTGAGGTCCGGTGAAATTTAGGCATTGCGGCTGCGTGCTGTTTGTGGAGACGTACAGACATTTAGCTCCCGTACAAGAGCGCAAAAACGCCTGGCCAGACTCATGCTGCACAAGCGCGGGCGTAAATGCTGATCCAATGTCATGCAATAGTCGTGAGTTGGTGAATATCTGAGCGTGCAAGAGCACAGGCCAATGCCCGGCTTCCAGTGAAAGACGAGATTGCAGGACGAAAAAGCATGAAAATTGTCACTTGTACGAGTTCTTATCGGTGAATCAGCTGTGCGTATGAGGGCGTAGTGTGGGAGATAGAGTTAATTGGGCACGTACAAACTGGGATCAAAATGGGGTTCTATCTAGGGCAGGTGGCATGTTTTTTGTGCTTTTTTCTTCACTGTCGAGTTACTCAACCCCTTGTCGTCTATATGGAACCCCCTAATCCACTATCTGAGATGGCGAATAATCGCGGGTT